CTTGAAAATTTGCGGCGCAGCCAGAATTTCTTGTGATTGGGAATACTTTGGGAAATTCATCCCATTAAAAAGGTCCTAGATGAGTTTGCTTTCTGTGCCTTTTCCTCAGGCAACGTCAGTGCTGAAAACAAATTTATGCGATTATAGATAACTGTGCGACACAGTTAACGAAAGTGACAGCTTACCCGCATTTTGTCAAGCTCTTTTGCCGAGCAAGATGGTGTATCCACATCATAAACATTATGAAATTTTCCAAAATCAATTCTATACTCGCCGTTCTCGCGTTGATAAGTCACCAGTTTTTCAAATCTGTAATCAATCTGCTTTTGCAAAAAAACTGCAAAATCACATTTACTTTTCTGTTAAGTACTTTATCTGAGCAGAGCACTGCGAATTCTAGGAAAGTAAGGTAAAAAGAATTTTCCCATTTCCGAAAAATAAAGGGAAGCCGGCACTGCATTGTCTTTTCCTGCTGAGTTTCATGCATACCGATGCTATAGAGAAAAACATTAAAATATATTCAAACAGTTAACCGTTTTCCCCACAAGATTTCATTTGGCAGATAACTGGTTCGTGCTTGCGTCGTGGAGCCCACTGATTCCACAACACCTTCCAGAATAGCAATAATCTCGAATCGCGCTGTGCTCAGACTTTCTCTGCTTACTTCATACAGCGGGCTGTTTTCGTCAATTTCATGACAAACTGTTATTGGCCAAATAACAAAAACACGATCCAGACCCGTATCATAGCCAACATCCATGTCAAATTGATGAAAGGGTAGTAATTCACCCTCGTATGTGATACATTTCTTGATCATCTACAATCAGCTGTATAAATTCAACGTAGGCGAATCAGCTGGCTTTTAAGCTGTCAGAACGAAACTTGAAAATGCGTGACATGACCGACGCTAAATCGTTATTATTACACAGTGGCATTTCCCCAGTCAATTTGTCTGTCCTAAAATTGAATTTCTTGCCCTTTAATGCAATTTAGCAGTTCAGTTGATTCATTCTTGTGCCTTTTCCACTGGTTCAGTAACCCCATCTTGAAACTTTTCTCCTTTATACGCCTTTTCAGTAAACTAACAGATATCAGCAATGAAGTGAAAACAAACTGTACTTTTTCACACATGACTTGCAGTGTTTTCTGGTTCTCCGAAAAATCTAAAAAGCAAAAATACCCAGTGTTGCAATAAAAAGTAGTCTGAAGGGACGGCGCCATAGTCGTTAGATGGCTCTGGATGCAAGTGGCATACCATCTTTGAAAGAAACAGAACAAGTTTTTCCGAAGAAATGCAGCAATGTAACAAGGCGCATAAATTATGGACGAGTCAGAGGGGAGGGAAGGGGAGAAGG